GAAAGAGTGGCCAGTGGCATATACTTTTGAGTTTATAGGCCAGGAGTGATGGAAATCCCTAGTTTTGAAGTGAACATAAGATAATATCTTAACCAAGATATATATTCATTTATCATTTCCTTTCAGATATATTTTTTTCCTGGGAATTAAAAAGGATCAACATGTAGCTATTGGTGCTTGAGTTTGTTGTCTGCTGTTACTCTGTGTGTAATATCAAACTAGCTATTATTTCTTCATTTTGTTTTCAATTTATAGGTTTAACTGCCAAAGTGATTGACCGAACAAAGACAATGGCTGATGTCTATGGTGCTTTCTTTGATTTTGCTTCTATGTTGGAGTCCAAGGTATGAATCTTTTGTTTACCTAAAGACAGTATGATTAGGTTTGCAACAGAAGAATGTAAATGCTACTCATGTTGCATTCTACAATGGATAATGTTCCTACTTCATATTGTATGTTTTATAACATCAAACATTATAATGGCAAATTAATTTTTGGAAAAAATAATGTGTTGTAAATGGGAAGAGTAGTTTGCACTTGGACTCTTGTATATGAATTTTTTATATATGTAAACCCATATTTCTTGCAATAATATAGTTGCAATCATTGTTGTCAAACTCTCAAGCTAACTTGTTGACTCTTGTGACTTTATGATTCTAGATAGCGAAAATAAGTTAACTAGTTGTCAAATCCTTTCCAAGATAAATTCAGGTTAACTCATGAAAACTTACATAAACTTTCGAGGCAAGAAACAAAACAATGAGTTTGAAATCAAATGTAATTCTTTCCCCCATAGCAGCCGTGTTTTATGCTACTCATGCATTGTTTTTGAAGCCATTGTAAATCTAACATTTTACTAGGGCTCAAATGGTTAGAAAGAATTAACTCTTGTTTTGAATTTATGTATGGATTGGTCATTTATGTAGTTTGATCTTGTTTAATATTAATGTACTATCACACTTTTTAATTTATTTTTCTAATTTACTTTATTGAAGTTGGAATGCTGAATTGTTGTTGTGTTAAAGGTATTATGCATATATATATATATATATATACATATATATCATTAATATTTTTTTTAATATTATTTTTCATATTTGATAAACGCATATGAGCTTACAAGTTGAGCCTACGGAAGCTGAGTTTATGTTGACTCTCGGGTTTGACAACCTATGCAGTTGGTAGCAATATTACAATTAATATGTGAAGTTGTTGACTGAACAATTAAGCCAGTTAGAGTCTAACAAAAAGTCTCTCTATTCTTTGCTTGCCTAGGTTATTCTATCATGAATAAACTGTTAAAGGATCACATTTTTTTTTACAGCCATGCTATTAGAAAACAATACCTTGCTTGGTCTTCCGACTTTTGTTCATCAATGACTTGATGCACACAAGTTGAAAATTTTCCCGGTTGGGTGCATTTCCCCGCGGAAATAGCGAATAAATAACACTTGATCCTCGCCTTTCATTTCATTGACCTAAAGTAGAAGATAATTGAGTATCCAAAATTTTAAAATGCAGATCTTGTTGCAGTTTTTTTTCCCTATTGCTGTATTACATTCCATCCACCATAAAACTAAAGATATTCAGTTTCAAGAGCATCCTGTTAAAGCTGACCTTTTCCAGCTAAACTGGTTCAGTATTTTCTAATGTAGGTTGACAAAAATGATCCCAATGCAACAAAAACATTGAGCAGGCTTGAAGCGATACAGAAAACTTGCAGAGAATCTGGTCTCTTGAGTAAAAGGCATGCACATAACCTAGTAGTTTCGAAAGTATATTTTTTCATTGACTGACTAACAAACCTTTCATTTGATTTAAGCAGGAAATCTTACATTCTGAAGAATGAAAATGGATATGGCTCAACCATGGTACGTTTTTACTTTTTACTTTTTTTTTTTTAAATTTAAAAAAACTAGATGCTGTATTTCTGAGAATATACACTGACTTAAACTATTCCTGCAGATTGTCATACTGATCATCTTGATTTCCATCACTTTTGCTTATCTGTCTGCTAACCACCATAATAAATAGTAAGTTCTATTGTTTATTTTAATGTACGGTTGAAATTGTAAGAACCATTGCCTTGCTTTCTTGCCTTTCCAAACACAGATACCAATGATACACTAATAGCATGGTTGAAATTGTAAGAACAATTGTCCTTATCTGTAAAATTGTTCCCTTTTTTTTTTTTTTTTTAATTTTTTTTTTTTTGTAGTAACTAGCCATGCCTTTCTGAACATGGATAGCGATGATCTCTGAAGCACAAGTACTCCAAAATAATACACGTACACCGTTGGGTACTCGTGAGTATGTACCAAAATATTTTGAAAAAAAAAAAGAGTAAGTAAATACCTAATTTGGGTCCATTTCAGTACTTTTTAGTATGTATCTAGCCTGTATTCGAGAGTTAAAAGCCTTTGTTTTTCACCAAGGATAAACAAAAATTGAGGAGATTGAAACAATTAAGGTGTCCATGGAATTTGAATTTGAATTTGCACGCTTGCAAGGAATTTTATGATGACTGCAGTTGACAATCGTGTATTTTAATTGGAAAAGTAGTCGTAGTGACGGTAGCTTCCTGTGTAGGGTTTTACCCTACCCCTACGTTCATTCCGGAAATTATCATTATTATGCGTGTTATAGGATGATGATTGTATTGACGGATAAAGTTGGAATACCAGAGATGACTACCCCCTCCTTATTTTCCCGTCATTGTTAAAGTAGCGTGTGAATGCCAAAATTAGAAGAAAAATGTCGAGGTTTTTGATCCGATAATACGCATAGAAAATTATTGAGATCAAGACTCTTTGAAAATTCACAATTGTTGGATTTACACAACCCATTGTAATACGACCGTGGCCAATCAAAGTTAAAAAATTTAAGTTAATCCTCTAGTCTTGGCTTGGATGGCCATTGAATTGGAGAGGTTAATGACGTAAATATTTAGAAATTATCAATTTCCCTATACGCTTTACTAATACATTACTAATATTTGAGTTGAAGGCTGCGGTTAAATAAAGACTTTTAAAAAGTAACCACTCTAAAATAAAGTAGCATAAGTTAGACGTGTGACGTAAGTTATATGTCTGTACAATTTTGAAACAACTTTTAAAAAACAGATTCAATTAAATATTTGATTTAATAAGTAATAAGAAGAGCGGAACATACAAATATATTTACTTAAGGTAAAATTAGTAGTTTCATCCTTTAATTTTTAGTTTTGATTTTATCCTATAACTTTTATTGATTCCATTTAGTTATGCAATTTCTCTTTTTGTATTACGTTAGTGCTTTTGTTATAATGACATTAAATCTCAATGGAAACTAATTTTTTTCTCATTTTTTTATGCATAACTAATTTTTTCTTATTTGAATTGTTTGAGAGGTGGGTAAAAAAGACAGGTTCCTTTTTTGTAATTAACATACCAATTTTGTATGATTTCATTTATTAAAATGAGATTGAAATATGGACATTAAGAATTGTTTTCATCAAACCCTTATTTTGGAAATTGATTGTTTTTCCTTTTATGAACAGTATGGTAAAGTTTTATGTAATTTCACTGGTTAAGTATATTTTAGTATGTGTAATATATATATATATATATATATATATATAAATGCAAATATTTATCTAAAATCTAGTTGATATTTTAATGTGATTTTAGATGTCCCAACATAAATATTAAAACATCCATATTATAGATCGTCTAAAATCACGTTAAAAAAATCAACTAACATAATTTTAGATAAATATTCATAAATATTCATATGTTTGGTCTCAGATTAAGAATTTGAATATAGATCTAAAGTTAATTTTTAGTTGAAACAATTTTAAGTAATTTTTATGTTGGATCAAAATTTTCAAGGAGTTTTACTATCTTTTAAAGTAAAAATATTCGAACATAAATCATTTCACTTCAATATAAATTTTAACCGAGATCAATTTCATAAAATCATTTTTTTTTTCAAAATCAAGTTTGTAAATGTTCACTCAAACACAAGCAGTTGGCCGAAGTCGCATAAACAGACCAATAAAGATACAAGTTGAATGCAATAAAATAAAAATGGATAACAAACTATTCATATATAAATTCTAAATGATAATCACAGGGGAAAAGTTGCCATCTATATCACAAATCAATTTGTGTTGCAAAATCAAAACATACACACAAAATTCGCAGGTTAAGAAACCAACCCAACCGGAAAACTTAAAACACTTCAGCCACCTTACTTGCAAGAACCCGCTCCCTCCTTTCAATATAACTAAATGGAAACCAACCTGCCTTGCCTTTGCATTCACCCTCGGCCCACCCGCTGTTTGTCACCTGTTAAAACCACAACCAACAAAATAATGTCAAACGAAAATCAGACCATCGTAACGGGATTGCGAAATAGACCAACTTAAAAACAAAGTTTAATGTCAGCCACTAGCAGAAACACAACTGCGCTAACAGTCAATCGGTGATGAATGGGAGATAATTTAATTAATCATGTTCTGACTTCATATCAGGTTATCAATTCCGTCTAAGAGCATGTTTGGATAAGATTCACCAAAAACATTTATAATACAGAAAAATAAGGAGTAAAATCAAAATAACCTTCATAAGTTAAAATTAGTTTATGTATGAATTAAAAGTAAGATTTAGAAGAAACTAATGGAAGAAAAACTTACACAAATTAACTTATGCATAAACTAATTTTAATTTATGGAAAAATTTATTTCATTTTTCCTTTCTATTTTTCTCTCCTATAAGTGTTTCTGGAAAAATTTATCTAAACAGGCCATTAATTTTGTTTTGAAGGGCTTCACAATTGCATGATAATAGTATAAATGCATTCTACTTGGTTATTCACGTATCAGTTTTCGAAATAATCCTAATTTGTTACCATAAGTGAAATGATGATTGAAAATACAAAGCAATCCATCTAGGCATCCTCAACCGGAGGGGGTAGAGTTCAAGATAAGCCATTCTGTGGTTCAACATAAATTATAATTATATCCAGATGCAGAAAGCTATTAACCTTTCGAACAACAATGTAATCACCAACTGATAGATTCAGCTCCACTTCAGATACAGCAGAATATGGAAATAAAACCTGGAAGAAGAGCAAAGTTACAAAAAGAAGAAATCAGTCACCTGTCACAAAAGTTACAAAAGAAGTCACTAGTTTACAAGAAAGTAGAAACAATCTCGTAATAACCTCTCCCAAGAAGTAACCCATGCTATCTGTTGATCCATTGTGTGTTTGAGAAGCATAGACACCATTTACTTCTTCATATGATGGAGGTGGTGGCATGCTGTTATCCAGACTAGGAGTTGGAGGGGTTTCAATTCGTCGTCGTTCTGATATCATCTATCATTAAATATACATAATAGCACGAAATCATGTGTTTATAACAAAAGAAAATTACGTATCTGTCAAATGGTAAATTTGGCTTCGGCAGGGAATAAATGGTAAAATGACTAAGTGACATGAATGCTTACCTCTCCCTCTAGCTGATCAAGTATTTGGAGGACTATTTGATGATAGGCACGCTCTGCTTCAACCTTCATAAGTAGAAATAAAGTTGGGATCAATTAGTAAGTTGTGGTTTTTTTATTACTCTGATCCAAGGTTTCACTAAATTGAAGAATTGCAGAATCATAATTCTAATTCACGAGGGCAAACTGCAATACCATAGCTATAAGACGCTGAAGAGTTAACCTCTGTTGCTGTGCTTCAACAGCAGCCAATGCTGCAGCCGCTTCCTTCCCCAGTATGGTCATGTTTGTCTTCAGATCTTGCAGCTTTGCTTCTGCTGCTTCTAATTTCATAGCATTCTCAGCATTGGGTGGCATTTCTCTAACTTTTGCCTGGCGTTTAGAAACTTCAATAGCCTGTCTAGGTACAAAAGGCAGAGCAATTAACCTCAAGATAGTAATAAATAATACTTAATGAAACATGTATGAAAACACAGAAGACAAAGACTACGAAAAGCAGGTGACAAATGAAAAAGTACGTCTAACATGTTTGGAAAAGTTAAATGAAAGATAAATTCTAGAATACCTGGCCTTCAGCTTCCTGTCGCATTCTGTCATAACGTTGAGCAAGATGCCGGGCATCTTCCAATGGAGCTCCCACAACCATTGCCCTTAAGGGCTCTGCAACCTAATCACATAATCATTAGGCTGAGATGGCAAGCACAGAAAACAATATGAGCCACCGGTAGGAATAGTGAGATTGATGAACTCAGTATACGAGTGTGGCAATTAAATTCTACTCATGATGTAATTAGGACATGGCATACATATTCCTATTAGATTAAATAGACTTATATATCCGTAAATCTCATTCATATTCAGTAAACCTGTTCAGTTAGGGGGAAAGCACCATCATAACTTCTGTGAAGTCAGACTTGAGTCTTACAATCTTGCAACTGCAAGTACTGCCCAATGAATTCGTCCATAAACACTCCACATACGCAAGCATATTTACATTTCAAGAAGTATATAATACCTGTGTACCAAGAGCTTTTAGCATGTTTCCCCGCTCCTTCTCCATTTGAGCATGGGCTCGTGCAAAACTTAGTGCAGCTCTACACAATGTAGTACCACTGGTACATGTATTTTCTGCACCATATTTCCTGCTATCTTCCGACAACTTTGCTCCTGTTACATAACATGCATAGAGTTCAATAACAATATTTTATGCTAACTAACAGCAACAAACTTCTATAAATGCTTCGTAACCAATGTTATGCACCTATTTCCACTTGCTTGGACCCAGTAACAATATAACCTTCTACACCACGAACAATATCCCTTTGATAATGCTGAAATCACATTAGAAGCTATTATCAGCCGAAGGGAGACGGGATAAATCAACAGGAACTATGAATGGAAACAAAGAATTGAAATCAAAGAACCAACTAACCTTCCCCGCACGTGTTGATATATAAAGTCTCTCAAGTTTCTGGTGTAGCTGCAGCTCCACTCCATCGGTAACCACATTATCTGAACCTCCATAACCGCCACCTCCAAACTGTTTCAGAACAGCCTAAATAGCAATAATTCTGAATTTTCATTAGCAAGTTGATAATTGAGAAATGATTCAAATGAACTAATCAAAACGAAGTAACCTTTGAGTAACAGGAATAAAAAGGGAAATGAAAATCTTCACAATTAATGAAGGATAAATCTTAGATATAGTTCTGTATGTGATTTTTATGTTGTTTTCGCATCATAATTGTAGCTTCATATTGACCAATTTTTGTGTTGTTTTTCCATCATAATTGTAGTTTCACCTCTTAAATCTATATTGACCAATAATAGAAACCTCTAGTACATGCATCGACGATGTGAAACACCAAATTTAATTGAAGAACACTAAAAGTACATGCATCACAGATGTGAAACTGCATCTAAGTTTTGTCCGTAAACGAGATGGAAACATATACATGCGCATTGCTCGGTGAGGCTGAATTCAGCTACCGAGCTCAACGCGTAAGCAAGATAAGATACCGATTTAAAATTCAACTCTAATCAACGTTTTATTTATTTATTGATTTCCGCAATGCAAGTGCGGAATTCGATTAGATCCAACACTCCGCGGTATAACATGATTCATATTCACGAGAATAACAATTACGAGGAGTTAAACGAAAATTGCATCGGAAAATAGCAACGATACATAGCA